CACTTGCCCCCGTTGAGAAATTTGAGTGATCAAAGATTTTTGTATCTTCAATTTTTCCCATTGATGATTCCTGTGTAGCTTGATGATGCCATGCAAAACCATGGGTTGCCCAAGAAAAACTTTTTGTAGCACAAAAATCCCAAATAGAAATTTAATCCAAGTGCCGAAATTTTAAAATTTTCATGTAGAGGTTGGGTTTAATAGCTCTGCATATAAAGGCACTAGATCACTATTAGACAACTCTTACTTTGTAAGTATTTTGAAGAGCTTTGCACACATAGGTGTTGGAACTTTGCATATAAAAGTATTAAATAACTTTGCATGTAGTGGCCTTAGAATCTTATCTGCAAAGGTGTTAGATATCTGTGCATACAAAGGTCTTAGAATCCTATCTGCAAAGATATTAGATGGCTTCACATATAGAGGTCTTGAAATTTTACCTGCAAAGATACTAGATATCTCCATATACAAAGGTATAAGAATCATACCTACCAAGATATTAAATAACTTTGTTTACAGAGGTCTTGAAATTTTACCTGCAAAGGTATATATCTTTACATACAAAGGTCTTGGAATCCTACCTACAAAGATATTAGATAACTCTGCATATAAATAACTCTACTTATAGAGGTATTGGATATTTTCAAGTAAAGTTCCCGAAAACATAACAATTCCTTTCCAAGACTCCAAAAGTATAAGAATTCCATAGCCAAGCAAATTTCCATTCACCTACCTTTTTTTTGGTCCAAACTCCCACCTTTCTTTCTTTTTTTTTTTAAGTTTCCCTTTCACCTTTCTTTTTTTTAGCATACCTTTCATCCATGGCTTCCAATGACTCAACCACCCATGGACCCACCTCTATTATTATTAATGACCCTATAGAGGGCAAGACATTAGTCGCAATGAATAACCTATTTAATTTTGAGATCAACCCTAATGGGTTACACACTTATACTAGAACCACTTGGATATCAAAATAGAAATTCATCTTTTGACCTTTGTCATTAACTTATAACTTCCCAGGGTGGAAAAAATTTTTGAGTGTTACTTTGAGAGTGTAGATGACGGTGAGGAATCCCACAAGATACATCGCCTAGGAGGTCTCATGCAAATGTTAAATCCAACCATATTTATGTGACAATCCTTTGAATAATAAGCTTGAAAGATTTTGAACTTTGGCTTTTTATATTTGCCAAACTTTTTACCAGCTTACTTTTAGAAAGTTGATTTAGTATGCACTATTTTAGATTAATAGTATCTCAGTTTTCAATTAGAAAACCATTGCAGCTAGTTTTCTTCAAGCCCTAAGGTTAACTAGCTATACAATAACTATCAATGGCAATTTCTTGAGATTACTCCTTGACCTTCAAAACAAAGTCAAAGTTACATGAATTTGTGAAATAATGTAATCATTAAGAAACTACAATGCCATTAGAAGTGATTCAAGACATTTGAAAAAGTTATATAAATTGAATTTATTCATATTCATAGCTTGTCTCATCAAACCTTCGTTTTTTACTACCCTTAGTAGTTGGGCCTGGACTTTTAAGACTTCTAAGTGTCTCCTCATCACAACATGCTTCTTAACCCAAATATAGCCCATTGACCTACGAAGTATGTCTTTAAGGCTTTTTGGCTTTTCTCTATTCAAAGAATGTAGGAAATCATAATACTCAAGGCCATTCCTCAAGGCATGCATTGCTACTCCTTCATCTAAATTGTCCACCTACAAAGATTCATTATGGAAATGAGCATTGCATTGCTACTCTCATTAGTTTGCTGTTTCATACTCATCAAATGGTAGGTAATCTTTTTTAGGACTTTATTAGCAATAAAATGTTCAATAAAACATTTTTCTAATTACTCAAAAGAGTTAATGGACTTAGCTTTGAGTTTGAAATACCAAGTCTGAATTGCTTTCTTTAAGGTAGTAGGGAATACTTTCCATGATAAGGCATCAGACGCTTCATAAACGATCATTGCTAGTTTGTAACTTTGCACATGTTCCACAGGATCTTGCGTTCCATCATCTTGCACCAACTAAGGTGGCTTGAATGATTGAGGCAAAAGCTTATTTATTATCTTGTCTAAGAATGGATCGCCTATTAGATCTATTTATAGAGCATCTGTCACCATTTGTTATGTCATTTGCAACACTACCATTTGTTGGCACAAGGTGTCTCCCTATCGTTCTATAAGGTCTCATTTCCCTCCTTGAGGGAGTCTCGTGTGCAACTTAATTGTTCCTTGTGATTAGCTATTAATGTTCTATCTTTTGAATTGGCCTGTGTAGTATCTTCACCCCTAGGATAGTGTTAGACTAGGACTTTACTTGATGATAAGAAAGCATTTGCACTTGCAAAGCCTTTTGTCTAGGTGTGCAAAACATGTGCTAACCCATGAGGATGGAAGTTCCAACGCAGGGTTGAAAAAACTAAGGTTGGCTCTAAAGTGTTAATATTGTCTACACTTGTTGATTGTTATGACTGGACATAGAGTCATTTTCCTATGATCCTATATTTAAATGGTCTGTATAAGCTAAGCAAAACATAGGATATTGTAGTTGAAGTGAGTGCCATTGATTTCAAAATACTTGAGATGGAGAATACCTTCTTGAAGATACATAAGCTCAATATGCCAGGATTGGTTCTTACTTTGAGGGTGGAAGACGTAATTGGTCATGGTTCTTAGTTAAAAATGTCACCGCTTGCTCAATTGCATGAATAATTCTCTCAATTTGTGTCATATTCTAGGTGAGGTATTGAATTTGATCCTATATTGTATTTCTACACCTAGTCATCCTAGGCCTTAAGGGACTTGATCTTGAGGTTTGTCGAGTAAAAGTTCATGAAGAAAAAGATGGTGATGTAAGGAAACTTGCACATGTTGATTTCACCGAGTGCTAACCATTGCTTAACTATAATGATTCACCATGAGCAATAATCGACCCTATGGTGGGCACCAAATGCTATTGCTAAAAATACCTCAAAGAGGAAATCTAATGAAGTAATCAAGATTTCATTAATGGTAAGAGAGATACAGAGATTGAAACACAATTTTAGGATTAAAAAGAGAGTTTTTTTTTCCCATCTCCTTGGCTATCTCTTTAGAGGTATTTAAAACCCTCTGCACCAAGATCCTAACTCATCAAAGATCCTAACAATAATTTAAATTCAAGTTTCTTGAGAATCCATTACTATTTAGGGATTCATTTTGGATCATGCGATCCTAATTTTTCTCCAAATTTGAATTGCAGGTATAACAATACCTTGTAGTAATTAAGTCTCCTAAGTTTGAATCAATTTCAAACTCCTCTTCCTTATAACTCATAGCTTTTGATTCACTAGTTGGATGATTTCAAATATGAAAATTTCTTCGTGCTATTGCCATGATTTATCCAAACCTGAATAGATTTAGGGATAAGTTAAGAAAAATTTTTTATTTTTGGGGAGATTGGCCAATGACCAAGTAAGAAAAGTTAAGAGATTTGAAGGTTAAGGAGCGGTTGAACCTTGATCTTTTATCCATTTGGAAAGTGAAATGATGTTGTTTTGCCAATTTTCTTCTCAACCTTTTAGGTTTCACACTCTTTACAATGTGGTCCATTAGCTACCATTATTATTATTCAACCCCTACCATTCACAACTTCACATTTTAGTTCCATACAATTAAGTCCAATCAATCATTTATTTGCTTAATTAATTTCCAATTTTGCCATTTGAAAACTTTAAACTTTATAGGAAATTAATCTTGATAAAAGTTTTGGAACTTTTAAAAAATACCCAGTTAAAATCTAGTTATGACAAGTACTTTCAAAATCCTTTGGTTTCCTCCTCTGCCCTCTACGTCTTCTTTGACACTAAACCACTTAGGGTTTTAGGGTAATGGATTATGTTGCCCTTGTAATTTAGCCAATACATTATTCTAGATTGCCTTGCTAAATTGACAGTCAAAGAATAAGTACTTTATGTATTCTAAATGAACCCCACAGAAAATACATATTCATCTACTTGCATTTTGCAAAGACCTTGTCTTCAATCTCCAATGCACCAGGACCCACAGTAACAAAATGGTCACCTAACTTCCTAAGGTGTCCAATCGTTAGTCACCCACAGTTAATATTAATTGAAAATGTTCAATCACCATTAAGGTGGCTAAGTAAAATGCCACATCAAATCTGACATGGCATTCCACATGGTGTTGACACCACAACTTATGTGTCAATACAACACCCGTGTTGGGTTTCCAGCCTCTTTTTGCAATTTCTTCAATGGTAAAATAATAGATTTGGTCCTCGAAATTTTACATAATGAGCACTTTGATCGTATAACTTAAGATTCATTCATTTAGGTCCCAAAAAGGCACCTTTCTTCTTGCAATTTCGTCTCTCAACACTACTGCAGGAATGGGATTTCCGAACCGAAATATCGGTCCGGATATATAGGAAATCGGTTTGAATATATATATCCGGACCGATATTGGTCCTTATAGTTGATCCGAAAAAACCTGATACGAATAAGTCTAATATACAGACCGACGTATAATCGGTTCGTATATATATAATATCCGGACCGAAATCGGTCCGGATATTTCAGTAAGAAATATAAATAATTATTGAGAAATTGAAATAAGCGGACCGAAATTGGTCCCAAAAAAATAATATAATAAAATAATAATATATATACGAACTGACAACGGTCTGTAACTGTGGCGGAAAGAGGCATCACAAATATATACGGACCGGGATCGGTCCGAATATTGAGGACCCAGCTGCAACTTTTAAAACTTGCAACTATATCCAGACCGATTTCGGTCCGAATATTGTGGACTTGCATGTAACTTTTAAAAGTTCCGTCTCCCAACAGGCATCATTCTCAAACTATATCCAGACCG